GCCTGGCGTGCCCCGAGGGCTGGATCCCGCGGCAGATCCGCCAGGAAAGGCCGGCCGGGGAAGGAGCCAGACCTTGGTTCGTTGGCGGGGAAGGCGAGCGCGGTGGCCGGGAGTTTGGGGATGCGCCGATCCGTCACGCGCTGCTCCGACGCAATGCCGCCGCTGCAAGGCCACCCGTCCGCCCGGTCCCCCCGGCACCGCAGCTCCTCGTTGCTGTGGTTTTACAGCTTCCCATAAACAGTCCCCCTCCATCTCTCGCTCTGTTTTTAATTACCTAGAAAATAACCTCCATTCAATTTACAGCTCATTTGAAGCTATGAGCAAGGGGCCATAAATATTTAATGCATTTAGAAGTGGCACCAACTGTCCAGGGCTTTTTTTTTTTCTTTTCCAGGAGTTGCTTTGTTTTAGCACATTTATTCTCCCACGTCTTTATTTCCTCCTGTTCCCTCTATCCATAATTTCCCATGAATACAGAGCGGGTGGTAAAAGACAGCTACTGCCGGCAAAGGGTTCGACCCCTCCGCGGGCGGGCAGGTCCGCGCGCCTGCACCCAGCAGGGGTTCCCCAAAAAAGGTGGTTATGCACCCAAATTTCTGCCTCTTAACGGTGGCTTCCCGGGCGCTGCCGCCTTCACACGGGGCCTCTCCGGGGCTGCTCCCTCCGCGGCACGAAGGGTCCTGCTTGTTATGCCAGCGAGCGCCTTCTGCTCCCAGGTTTTTGTGGGTTTACCCGGAACACGGTTTGGTTGCGTCTATTAATTACTACAACACAAATTTTATTGTAACATAATAGATATATTTACTCTACGAGGAGTGACAGCGTTTATTAATTATGCACAAGCGGGCTTAGAAAAAGGATTTGTTTGCTTTGATGTCTAATGCGACGGACTGTTTTTTTTTCTGCTTGTTAAACTTAATCAAAAGCAATCAAAATACTCTCTCATAAATTACAGCAAATTAATTCCAAACAAAAGGGAAAAATATTAGGTAGCAAAAAATGGAAGTAAAATTAAAAAATGTGAGCTAGGATTTGAGCTAATTAAAATACAGCATGCTGCTACAGGCTTTCCTTTCCTCTGGAACGGCGGAGCAGGAATAGGAAGAGCGCGGCAACGGGCATCGGAGGGGCTGGGGGGCAGGAGCGCCGGGCGGGCTCTCTTCACCTGCCTGCAAGCAGTGATCCCACTTGGCTTCTCCCCCTCTTGTTGCTTGTAGAGTGCTTTGAATGCTTAATGCATCCTTAATTAAAAGGCAGGTATCTCATCTATTGCTGTCAATTGGCAGCCGGGGCCACGAGACGTTCCCGGGGGCCCGGCACCTCCCTCGCGCCGGCCCGTGCCCGCGCGCCCCCC